GGGGAGCTGTGGGGCCCCGTCGGTCGTGGCGGACCCCTTGGCGTCGCAGCGGGCGCTGCTGCCCGCGCTGCCTGTGCCCCTGGCGCATTCGCACCCAGCAGGCCCGCCGATGCTGGAGGACCAGGTGTTCGTCGGTGTCGTCGGTGCCTCGGCGGCCGCGGCTAGTTCGACGGGTTCGAGCCTGGCCGCCCCTGTTGCGCTGCCGCCGCCAGAGCCTGCGGCAGAGGCGATGCCGATGAGGAAGAGACAGAGGCAGCTTCGGCAACTGGACGCGACGTCGGCATATCCTGTCCACGAGTGCGACGCCACGGTCCAGGAGTTGCTGAATCCCGCGGAGCCCGTCTTCAACAACCCAGCCCAGCCAGCCCAGCCTGCAGCGACGACGCCAAGTGGGGAAGACGTACGCGAGGGCTTGAAATACGTGCACGGGTGGCCGCAGAGGGACCTTAACACGCTCAAGGTGCTTGGAGGCTCACCCATCCTGAGGATCTTCCTCAAAAACCTCCTCGTCAGCAGCTATTCGACTGCGTGCTCGGGAATAGACGCCCCGGGCACTGCGCTCTCGATGCTCAGGGCCGAGTTGTCAGTCGTCGTCGGGTTCGAGGTGCCGGAGCTCGAGCACGTGCATGCCACGGAGATCAATGAGGAGTGCCAGAACGAGCTGCTGGCGCACCCCAATCCCCCGAAGTGCCTCTTCACCGACCTGAACGACGCATGGGGGCCTCACGTCGCCAAGAGGATCTCGAACATGGTCGCCGGCGGCTACCCCTTGCCATTCAGCCAGCTCGTTCCGCTCGTCAAGTCCAAGCGCGCAATCACCACTTTGTTGCCCTGCAAGGTCCACGGGCAGAAGTGCCCGATGAAGGGGGGCAAAATCCACTTCGCCGGCCTACCCTGCGTGGACTATTCGCCACAGGGTCTTTCCAGGAGAGAGACTGGGCCGACCTCTACTTCGTTTGGTGCGTGGGCCGGCCAACGCATCATCATGCAGGAGGGGTTCGTCATCATCGAGTGTGCGAAGGAGTTCGACGCTGACATGATCATTGGCCCCGTCTTCCACGATGCCTATTTCGTTGAATCTATGGTGATTGACGCGGTGGATAGGGGGTTGCCACAGAGGAGGAAGCGGATGTGGACCGTGATGGTCCACAGGTTGGTGGTGCTCGAGCAGACATCTACCCTTTCGAACGTGATCAATCTCTTCAAGTCCCCGATCATCTACTCGTGGCAGATCTTCCTCGTGGCGTCCGATGACGAGAAGCTCCATGAACTCAAATGGGCCTCTCGCGAGACAAACCCAAAGCGAGCGAGTTCTGCGTGGCCAACTGGGGTCGCGGTGACTCTTGAGGTGGATGACGCTTTCGTGAAGGCTCTTTCGCAGTGGGAGCTCGACAACTGGAGGGAGTACCAGAGGATGAACAAGGACGCGATGGGCGAGCTGTGCTACCTCATCCAGCAGAACCCCCACAAGCATGCCCACAAGGGCACGCAGCAGATCCTTTGCACTCTCATCGAGAACTCCCCGTTCCTCTTCTCCACACCTCATCGCCGATGGTTCACGGGGTCGGAGTGCTTGAACGCGCAAGGGTCCCCAACGGACGAGGTCATGAAGATCATCGACGAGGGCCACATGAAGCCTGGGAAGCGGCACTGCTCGTTCAACCAGGCGCGCGTGCCGAGGCAGAGTCATCACATGAAGGAGCAGGCGGGCAACTCGATGCCGATCCCGGTCTGCGGGCTGATGTGGGTCTTCATCTTCGGGTTCCACGTGCACTTGGGCGCGTGGGCGCAGCTTGCATTGCCTCTCTCTTCTCGTTGGCTGCTCGAGCGACAGGTCGTTCGACATAGCAGGCAGCCTTGCCTCAGCCAAGTCCCTAACAGTTTTGAGTGTTTTGAGTCTGTTTCGTTTCAATTTGCATTTCAGTCGTGCTCCTCGGTGCTCCTTGGGCCTCCTTGGGCCAAGCCGGATCGAATTCCAGGTCGAGTGTTTACATTGAGTAGTCAGCCATTCGTGAATTTTGATTTTGCCCCCATGGGCACGCTCAGTGGCGAGCGACGCATGGGATGAGGGGTGAAGGGCGCCAGTGCGAAGGGAAAGACGTGGGGGCAGGGGGTTGCCAGATACGAGCAGCACTAGCAGTTTGAAACATTTGAAGTGAGTTTGCTGTTTGCCCTAGGTCTTGCATGTGATGCTTCGATGGCCATTCGGCCGAACAGTCCCTGCAATCGAAGAAGGGGGTTAAGGTGCGAGGCCTATGACAGTGGCCTGGTTTCTGAGCCAGGGGAGCCCAGGGTGCGCGCTGTGTGATCTAATACTTTCTAGCACGCGTGTGATACGCGTGGCAGCTCCCGAGGGAGCCACGATTTCTTTTCGCCGCGTTCAGGCGGCAGCTAGCAGCCAGCCCGCGTTCAGATTCGCCGAGGCAATCAGACAGTCGGCGCCGGCGCAGTGCATCGGAGTCTCGAGCCCAGACCACTGTGAGAAGTTGGGCTCTCTCTTGCGCTCGAAATCCAAACTCGTCGTCGTGAACCCCTTCTGCTTACATTCCACTCCATCCCTCACTCCCTCCACGCTCCCTCTGCCTCGATCCATTCCTCATCCTCGCATCCTCATGCTTGGAATCGCGAGAGTAACATGCAGTGACACCCAGTAACACCTGTAGATACCTAAACATTCTAAACCAGCATGGGAAGTTTATCGCCGTGCCTGGTCGTGGTTGTCGGGCGCTGCTACTAAGGCTCAGGACCATCGGACTAAGGACCACCAAGGACCTGGATCTGACTAAGGACTCGACCCTCTCGGGCAGGCCATCCATCAGACTAAGGACCACCAACCAAGGACAACTCCTGGATTCGCTAAGGGCCATCACCTAAACGTAGTAAGGAGGAAATAAATGGGGAGGAGCAAAATTAATAACAATAAAACCAAACAAGCAGTCAGTAGCCATTTTGGCTCCCACTCCAGCAACGTGGCCTATCGAACTTGCCCCAAGAGCTACCAGAGACATTGGCCTGGCTATGAAGCCGCATTCAATGCCCAAGCTAACGGCCACAGCCACTCCCCAATGCGCCAGTCCCGGGAAGAAGAGCTCTGGCGGGCCGCTCGAGAGTCCGCTTACCAAGCGCAGCCGCTTCGTTGGCAAGCAATCCCAGCAGCCCCTGCCTCCTGCATCTCTTGAGGACTCCAAGCACCATGATGCTCTCTATGGACCGCGAGAGCACATTCGCCACCGCTTCCCTGGGCTCATTGGGCTACGATTGCTCAATACGGTGAATAAGTGATATCGTGTGCAGAAGGACCAGCGCATTCCTTTCTTCAGCAGCGGCTTCGGCAACACCAACGGCACCAAATTGCTCGTGATGCACGACATGAACCACCGTGACCAGGGCGCGGTGGAGGAGGACTACACGCTAAAGGTCCTCAGTATGGGCAGCGTCCCTGGCGTGCGAGGACAGCCATGGGCAGTCTTGACTGCTGATCGTGCCGACCCTGACGGCGACGGAGTGCCGCCCTACCAGTTGCTGACCTTCGGCACGCTTACGCGCGCGATCTACAATGCGATCAGTAGGGAGCCTGAGAACCCGCAGGTGGAGGCGACGCTCGAGGCGGGCTTGCATGGCGCTCAGATCTACAGCTGCCGCACGCCCCCAGACGTGTGCGAATTCCTCATGGAGTTCCACAACGAGTTCCACCAGGGCAGCGGCTACACCTTGATACAGTTCCAGCTCGCAGAGAAATCCGAGGCGCAATGGAAGGCGCATGCGCATAGCACTGGACAGGACGTCACGAACCAGGATGCGCGGCAAACATGGTTGTCCACACAATACCCGACGAAGTACAACAGCCCCAACGCGTTCAACGGCGCCAAGGCCAGCTTGCACGCCCTCGAACGTCTTGGCATGTACCAGCCCGCCATGGCCTGACTCGGGGCTACCTGCGAGTTCACGGAGCTCAAGAACGAGTCCGCCGCGTATGCAATCCACGAGCTGATGATTGTCCTGGAGACCAAGTACAAGCACGCGATGCCGAAGGAGCTGCTGATCACCGCGGGCTGCGAGATCCTGAAGTTCATGGTGCCGACCGTGGCGCGCAAGGAGGACGCTGCGCCAGGGTCAGATTCTTTCAAGAACAACCAGTTCCTCCAGTCGTTCGTCAGTACTCGGGAGGCGCCGTGGATTCTCAACAGTCGCGACAACGTGAAGGACAGGATGGCGTTGTAATGAATCGATAACTTCAGAGCCCTGCCAACACATGTTGGAGGAGGAAGGAGGAGAAGGGAGGATGCGGAAGTGTAGAAGAGGAAGCAAGGTAGGAGGGACTGCCTGGGGCTGTTAAAGAAGGCCCCAAAGGCCAGGACTATTCCAATACTGTACTACTAGTACCCTACTCGGGACCCTCCTTCCGGAGCAACCCATGACACTCTCTCGGGGGCCCCTGGGAATCCTCCTGAACCTCGCGGGGTCCCGGGTACCTCCCTCCGACATGAAAACCTACCGTGGCCCTTTGGGGATCGTCGTGGGGCCACCATGGGCCATCTAGGGGTCTAGGGATGTCCCGAGGGGCCTCGAGAGGCTGTCATGCCCGCGCTCCCCTGGGAAGGAGAAGCTCAAGCTCCTGATCACAAGCATGGCGGGTTCAGCGGCCTTGAAAAGGCTGGAGGCCAACCTGCAGAAGACGCCCAAAAAGAAGCCCGGCAGCCCGACCGCCGGGATGGAGGCTGCTGTGGCTGTGGGCCTCCTCCCTCCTCCTCCTCCTCCTCCTCCTCCTCCCCCTCCTCTTCCTCATAGTCTGTGTGCTCTGTCCTGCTCACTCCTCGCCCTCTTCGCCCACTCCTCTCCTCACTTCTCCACCTTCACCTCGCATCTGGAGTCCGAGGATAAAGTTAGCACAACAACTTCGAAGCTTGAGATGGCCTCAAGCTCTAAAGTTATGATGTTGCCTCGCTCCCTCGTGCCTTCGTTACACTTTATCCTCGAACGCCTCTTCCTCTTCCCCCAAGGCTAAGGAGCGCGCGGACGCCATCGTCGCCTACGACAAGGGCCCCACCAACAAGAGCAAGACGGTCAGGACTCGGGAGAAGACCTGGTTGGACGACTTGGTCGCTTGCCTTGACTGGGTTGTGTCGTTGCTCCCAGCAGAGCCGCCAGAGTTGGACGCCATCCAGTGCAAGGGCATGGCGATCTCTATGGGCGTGGAGTTCTGCTTGACAGGTCAGCTCACGGTTGGGTCCGAGACGTTCACCAAGTGGTCCTTGCTGCGGCCTAGGCTACAGGAGAGCGTGAAGCAAATCATGTCAGCGAAATGTTCTTCGTCAACCCTCTTCCAGAACCAGCTTCAAGATCGCCTGATGCAAGCCATCGGCGACACGGACGCATCGGAGTCGCAGAGCCCTGCTGGGAAGCCCAGTGAGCCCGCCGAGCAGTCTGAGATACAACGTTTCGTGGCAGACGAGAGCCGCGCGCAGACCATCGCCGAATTCGTTTCCAAGAATGCTGCCGACACGCCGCTCAAAACACAGGCGCCCCTGTTCGAGCTTCGGAGCGCCGTCGTGAAGGAGATGGTCGCGACTACTGCACCTGATAACTTCATTGCGGCCTTCTCCGACGCCCTGGTCACGGGCCTTGCGAAGGTTTTCCCCGACGACTGGTGGGTGCGCATGGCTGCCATCGCCGAGTACGTGGATGGCGGGAAGCTCCCAGACTGGGCCACGACCATCATGGGGCCGAACGACATCGGACACTTTCTGGCGCTGCGGGAGAAAAATACTCTGGATGTGTTGAGAGACATCGTCGCTGATGATGATGTTTCCGCCATGTCGGACGGGGGCCGGTTGGCCATTAGTAAGCTCGTGAAGGCCATCAAGCGCCCAGATGTCAACAAGAGCGGCGCGCTGGACATTGTCGACACCATCGGACGGAACGCTGCGCGGGACCGCGCACTCATGGGGGGCAAGTATGCTAGCGTCTGGGCTTCCTTCTTGGGCGCCCGCCTCTCCGAGGACAGCGAGCCCGAGATGCTGAGCGCCGTCAAAGCGGCCGTCCTCAAGGAGTTCGGCGCGGAGATTGACGCGGTCACTTCCAAGGCGGAGAGCCAGGGTTTGAATGCCAGCGACGGCGGCGCGCTGCAGGTGACCCCCTGGGCAGTGATGTCCAGCATCGTGTCCTTCAAAGACTACGAGAAGATTGACCTTCTCAGCAAGACGCCGCATTCCTGGGCGGCGCTCCCACAGACCGACCCCATCGCAGCTCACCTCGACAAGTTGTTCGCACGCAAGTACGTTGGACCTGAGGGGCCCAGAGGTGAGGAAGAACTTCAACATGGACTGGGTCTCTAGACTGTCACCGTACATCGAGTTTGCAATCGAAGAGAATCGTGACGGCATCGAGAAGCAGACCAAACACATCGTCGTCAATACTTCATTGAAGGCGCCGCCGGCCGTGGAAGTAGACGCGGCGAACACAGACGAGGGCGAGGCCAGACCCAAGGCGAAAGCCAAGGCCAAGGCCAAGGCGAAAGCCGCGGCCAAGGCTGGAGCCAAGACCGACGCTGCTGACAAGATGGCTTGCACCTTGGACGTCGCATCCTTCAAAGACTTCGCGCTTCCGTTCACGGGCAAGATCATGCGCCACCGGACCGCCCTGTGCACCCAGATCGGGATGATCACTGTCGCGACCGACCCAACGGTGATTGAGAAGAAGTCTGAGGAGAAGGACTCGAAGAAGGATAAGGAGGAGCCTGAGGACAAGCATGGCTCGGACTCCGACAACGGGCCCGTCTCTCGGGTCTTCACGTTCAACGTGCCGATCTACGTGGGCGGGCAGGGCGCCAGCGACATCTTCGGCCAGCGCGTCGTTCCAGCTTGGTGCGTGAAGCCGGTCGACGTGAAAGCTACTATGGTGATCGAGGACCGCGTGCTGCGCCTGAAGATCCCAGAGAAGCTCCAGCTCGGCAAAAATGCGGCGGACATGATCATCGTTGACAGCAAGCAGCTGCGAGGTGTCGTCGGCTACGAGGCGGCGAACGCGCGGCCGTGCGGCATCCCGCTGACCCGCCCGGCCTTCGACGACGAGGTGCTGAAATCAGACAAGAAATCCCATGGGAAGGCGGTCGAGAAGCTGGCCACGGAGTTCTTGAAGTTCATGGGGGCTGGGGCCGCGGTGGACCATGGCAAGCGCAAGGCCAAGAAGAACATCAAGATCACTGGCGCTGGTGACGATGCTGGCGCCCACGCCCTCGACGGCGACGCCGAGGAGGACGACGACGAGATCGCGGAGGCATCGAAGAGCTCAGTGAAGCATCTTGTGGGCTAGTTGGTTTGTATCGTAGTCTTGTGTAGCAGGCCTGCCACGCGATGAGGGATGGGACATAGGAATGAGGAACAGCAGCAAGAATGAGTGAGGAAACGCGAGGAGGAGGAGGAGGAAGGATGAGGATGAATGAGGATTAGGAGGATGGAGCGTCTGCCGAATACTATGGCCCCTCTATTTCTGGGGCTATCCATGCCGTGGCGTGGTCGCTGCGTTTTGATGGCAGGCCTGCGGTCATTTACGCCTCGTGAGCGAGGCTGCGTATTTCGTTCTCAGTTTTCAGTTTGGTAATCTTGTGCTCATTTGAAGCCTGGACGGCCGAATCGACGGACGGGCATCGGTGATTCATGTCCAGGTGTGCTGCAGGATTGTGATTTTGAGTTTTGATGCGCTCCTCTTCGGCGTCGCAGTGGTGGCGCGGGTCCCCAGGTCAGGGCTCGAGTCGGACTCGAGACTACTGCCACCGCTGCAGCTCCACGGCCGAGGAAGGAGAGCATTGCGGATGGCCGAGGCCGACGCCGCCAGCACCAATGACAACAATGACATCTCGTCATCGCCGAGGCGATGAGCAAGAGCAAAGTGGAAAATACGCCTCCTCCTCAGGCCTCCTCAGCTTCCTCCTCCTCCGACTCCACGCACTCCTCTTGCTCCTCAGGCTCCTCCTCCTCCTCCTCCTCCTCCTTCTCCTCCGGCTCCTCCTGCTCCTGTACTCCTCCTGTGTCCTCCTGTGTACTCCTGGAGTCCCTGGAGCTGGCGGCAGCCGCGGCAGCGACGGCCGTGTGGCCAGTAACTCACCAGACCGACCGAGCTGGGAGGACGGGAGGAGGAAAAGGCGGAGGAGGAGGAGGAGGAGGAGGAGGAGAAGAAGGAGGAGGAGGAGGAGTAGAGGAGGCGTAGAGGAGGAGAGGAGGAGGAGGCCCCGCCCTAACAGGAAAACAAGGGAGTCAGAAAAAGCAGGCGGCCGACGACTCGTCAACTCCTCCTCCCTCCTTGAAGCTCCTCCACTCCCCTCCTCCCGAAACCCCTCCCTTCTCCTTCCCTGCTCCTGCTGACTCTCCCTCCTAACGCTCCTCCTTCACAGCCGGTTGCCTGGTGGATAACCTACTGGATAGCGAGTGCGCCGTGCAAGAAGCAGTAGTGCGAGAGAAAGACTAGGAAAAGTAGCGAGATACGGTGTCTCTTCAACGGCTCATCCATACCCATCCCCCCCCAGCTCTTTCCATTTTTGGCCTTTCCGTGGGGCGTCAAAAAACGAGTCTCCAAGTACCCAGATCATTTACCCAGTGGATTTGGACATATACAGAGGAGGAGGAGGAGGAGGAGGAGGAGGAGGAGGAGGAAACCAGGCTCAACGGCGCGCCCAGGGGGGGAAGTGAGAAGGAGAAGGCCTTCTCGGAAGGCGGCGGGACTTCTCAGAAGCCCCCGCGCCCTCTCGGAAGGCTTCTGTTCGGGGGAGGCGCAGGAAACCTCTCAGAAGGCCGGGGGGCTTCCGAGCCTTCTGAGAATGCCCGCCCTTCTCCCTGGCATCGCTCGGACGTGCGCATCTTCTCCTCGGCGAGGACCCTGGAGGAGCATCCTGGACCATCGAGCAAAAAGAACACGCACGAAACCGAAAAATGCACGGGAAATGGACGTCCGAGAGACGGCAAGTCTCATTCCCGCCCCCGCTCGCCGCCGATCCTCACCCAGCGTCGCTTGCAGCGTTTGGGTGTTCGAATTTCTTGTTTGCGGCGCTTCGGTGTTTTAATGTGCCGTTTGCGGCGTTTCGGTGTTGAAATTTTCTGTTTGCGTGCTTCGGTGCTCACATTTGCTGTTTGCGGCGTTGCGGTTGTCAAATTTGCCGTCTGCGGCGTTTCGGTACTCAGATTTGCCGTTTGCGGCGCTTCGGTGCAAAACTTTGCTGTCTGCGGCACCGTCGCCCTCGGCCCCGAGGGCGCCGGCTGCGCAGACAGCGAGCTGCCGACCCCCGTGCTCGAGCGCTCGGGCAGGGCCTCCGAGGGCCTGCCTGCGCACGCGGGCGGCTGCTGTCTGCTACGCTTCAGTCGGGCCCGTCCCTCCTACAGAAGGAATCTCGGGTCGGGCGACAGGGGGGGATTGGGAAAGGGGGGGTTACGAAATTTGCTGCATGCAGCTGGTTTCGGCCTCACCGAGGGGCCCATTCCTCGATACATCGCCGCCTCCGGCGCCGGGAGGCGCCGGGAAAATCAGCTACGTGAGCTGATTCTCAAACCCCCCCTTTGCTATCCCCCCCTTTCGCCCGACCCGAGAATCTCCAAAAACAGTCAACAAAAATAGTCTGGGGACGAGTTTTCGAGTACTGTTCGACCGGTTGGGGGTATTTGACTGGGTATTTTGTATGTTTCGTCCCAAATCCCCCTGTAGGGGGACGCGCCCGGCTTAATACTACGTTCGGCGCTGCCGAGGTCCCCGTCCACCGCGGGGCACTTCGCCCCCGGTCCGCGCGGCCACCCCGCCGCCCGGCCTCGCTGTTACCATCACGGGCTGCCCCCCGCCCCTGGACCACCGCCGCGGCGGCCATTCCCGATGCCACGGGGACGTTCCGCCCGGGTCCACTCGCCGCTGCATGCCGTACTCGTGAGGCGAAGTTGCCCCTTGTATGGAGGAGGTCCCCCAAGTTCAGGGGCCGACCACAAAGCTGTTTAGTTTGGTTTGGGCCTTTGTTTGGTTTTTCGTCTCGTTGTTCGTTGTCGCTTTGTTACATGGCTCGTCCTTGTCTTGAGCGCCCCGTTTCGTCGTTCGGTTTCGTCTGGCACCAGCTGTGTTTTCAGGTTTCGTTTTGAACGTCGAGTCTCGCTTCGCTGTTCGTTACGTACACCATTTCGTTTCAAGCATCGTTGTTGGGGAAACCAAAAGGTACCGATACCGCTACTCCCCAGACCTCTCCTGGGTTGCGTTCTGACCGGAGTTTCGAGGCGAATCCAACGGTGGCGACGAGGGCCTCCCAGGAGGCCCAAAAAGGGGAACACGAGGGGAGGGTAGAGGTATGGGTACCTTTTCCTCCTGAGTTGTGGCCGGTCCTTGCCCAAGTTCGACCAAGCGGACAAGATTTCTGGAGCGAGGCCACGCCCAAGGGGCCACGCCCCCCCCCCCGCTGCGCTCTCAGAAGAGGGCCGCGGCCCGGCGCGCACTGCAGTGCCTCGCCTCGCCGCGAAGTCCCCCCCCGACCCAGCGGCGAACGCTCCGCGTGGATCGGGCACGGGTTAATGTTAAGTCGGGTCTGTCCCTCTACAGGGGGAATCTTCAAACATATGTTTTTTGCAATTGTCAGGGAACGTTTTTTTCCGTATGTTTGACTATGTTTGACTGTTTTGGAGTGTTTTTGGAGGTATTTTTCATTTTTCGTCCAGAATCCCCCTGTAGGGGGACATGCCCGACCTAAGCTTAATGGGGGGGGGCGAAAGACGGAGGGGGGCGCTAAACCAAGAGATCCGACGCTCCAAAAATAGATTGGAGCGGCGGGTTTGGGGCCGTGGTCGGCCTGTGGAAGCCCTCGCCGGGCCTCGTCGGGACCGTCATCAAAACGATTCAGGTGGAAAGACTTGCCCCTGGGAAGTGGTCCAGACCTCCAGGCCCAACGCATCGGAAAAATTGGGCGCAAATCGCAGTCGGACCGAGGTGTAAGATCGAGATCGGTTCGGGCCCTCTTGGGCCGTCTCGGGGGCCTCCTGGGCCGTCTTGGGGGCCTCATGGGGCCATCTTGGGACCCTCTTGGGCCGTCTGGGGGCCCTCTGGGAGGCCTCCTGGCCCGTCGTGGCGCCATTTGGGAGGCTGTGTGGACCGTCATGGGCCCGCGTGGGCCGAAAGGAAGAAAACGCTACACCGTAGCAAAAAGCATTGAGCATTTTTAGTGTTTGGCTTCTCGGGACGCCTTGAGGGACCTCCTTGGGGCCATCTGGGACTGCCTTTGGAGCTTCCTGGGCTCTCTTGGGGCCAGTTTGGGCAGTCTTGGAACTGTCTGAGGCTATTTTCAAGACAAGTTGTGCCGCTTGGACGCCGCTGTTGGCTCCGAGGAGGCCCAAAACGCATACTATGGCTTTCCATAGGTTTTTGCAAGGAAATGTCAGATGCGACGAAACGGGTCGGCACCTCGGCGCGGGCTTGGGGGGGGGATTAAGGGGGGGTGCTTTGCAACGTATCAGAATGCAGTATTGTGCACGTGGCCTTCCTGGACGTCGCCTGGCGTGGCCCTTGCGTCACACACCCGTTCTGTCGGACTGCCGAGACGCTTTGCTGCAGTCTACGTGGATTCCTCTCGCTTCGCGGGGTGACCGTCCAGACCGCGGAGAGTACGGGGCGTTTCGGGTGTCTTCGAGCATGCACAGTCAAGTCTTTGTGGCGACTCTTGCGAACCTCTGAGGGCCGTCTTGGGGCGCTCTTGCGCCGTCTGGATTCTTTGGAGCCTCGCGGGGCCTCGACGGGCCTCTCGGGCCGTGCTGGGCTTTTTGGGGCCCAATAGGCGCTTCTATGGTTTGCATGTCTATGTATGTGTATATATGTGTATATATTATTTGTGTATAAATATGTGTATATTTGTGTATATATATACATATGTGTATATCTGTATGGTTCTATATGTAGATAATATATACATATATAGCCTGGCGACCAGAACGCGTAGGGCATGGACATAGAGGGGTTTTGTGCGAGGCATTTGGAACCCTCTCGGGGGCCCGTTGGGGGCATGCCGGGCCCTCGTCGGGGGGTCCTGGGGGGCTCATTTTCAGTGTTCGCCGTGGCGTCTTGGAGCGAAATGTGGGACGTGTCGGGGCCCTCGTGGACAGTCTGCCGCGTGCGCGCGAAAGATTTCCCTGGGCCCAGCAAGCGCGGCACCGCTCTCACCAGCAGTCGTGCTTTCTGCGGCTGACATTTTCAGCGTTCGCCGTGCACGCATTGGGGCACGGGCGAAACTCCACGTGTACAATCGACGGGCATTCGTAAACATACCAGAAGAATGATAATCGAAGACGCCTACGGCGAATCACCGCCGCCCCCTCCCTTTTTGGAAGCGCCTATGTGGCCGAACGTTGAGGCCAGACCTGCCAAGCTATCGGACCATGTGTTCCGCGAATCGGTTTGGAAAGTCTTCGGGGAACACATGGGCATCTTGAAGGTCATCTTGGCAGCCTGGAGGCCATTTTGACCTTTACGGGCCTTCTTGGAGGACGTCTTGGAGGGCTCTTGGGCCGTCTTGGAGGCCATCTTGAGCGTCTTGGAGGCCTCTTGGGCTGCCTTGGAGGCCTCTTGGGGCCGTCTTGGGCCTCTTGGGCGATCTTTGGGGGCACTTGGGCCGCCTCGGGCCGTCGGAAGGTCGAAACAAGGAAATGCCACAACCCTTCAAAAACTTGTGGCCTTTTCGGGCCTTCCTGAAGGCCCTCCTGGAGGCCTCTTGGGCCGTCTTGGGCCATCTTACTACCATCTTCGGCCGTCTTGGTGGGCCCCTGGCCCGTCCGACGCCGTCGGAAGCCGTTTGGGGGGCCTCTCTGAGCCGACTTGGGGCCCTCTTGGAATGCTCCAGGGCCGTCTTGGAGGCCATATTGGGCGTCTAAAAGCCTCCTGGGCAGTCTTGGGGGCCTCTTGCGGGCGTCTTGGGGGCCTCTTGGGCCGTTCTGGGGCCATCTTGGAGGCAGTTTGGGCGATCTTCTGGCGATCTGGGAGCTCTCGGGCCGTCGGAAGGCAGAAAAGAGGCAACTGTAACTGTCCTTCAAACACCTAGGGAAAGTAAGTGTTTTTTGCCTTTTCGGGCCTTCCTGGAGGCCCTCTTGGAGGGCTCTTGGGCCGTCTTGGGCCAGCTTCGAACCAACTTCGGCCATTTTGGTGGGCTCCTGGCCCATCTGACGCCGTCGGAAGCCTTTGGGGGGGCCTCTCTGAGCCGACTTGGGGCCCTCTCGGAATGCTCCAGGGCCGTCTTAGAGGCCATCTTGGACGTCTTAAAGCCTCCTGGGCTGTCTTGGTGGCCTCTTGCGACCGTCTTGGGGGCCTCTTGGGCCGTTCTGGGGCCATCTTGGAGGCATTTGGGGCGATCTTCTGGCGATCTTTGGGGGCTCTCGGGCCGTCTCGGGCCGTCGGAAGGCCGAAACGAAGCAAATGTAAATGTCCTTCAAAAACCTAGGGACAGTAAGTGTTTTTTTGCCTTTTCGGGCCTTCTGGAGGCCCTCTTGGAGGGCTCTT